AAATCAGCTCCCTATTGGCACGCCGACGAAATGTTTCCATTGGATTACTACTAGCCCTAATAAGCTTATTGAACCTCTGTAGGAATAAACCAAATATTAGAGAATAGATATCGCTAAATAGTATATCAAAGGCCCTCTTGCGCCTTATGTTGAAATCACCATGTCTAGAATGGAGTAAAATTAGCGAACTTATGTGAGTCTGTGCAGATGCCACTGAGGAGTTTAGCGCAGTGATCGTTGCGGTAGTCATATAGGGTCTTAAGCCCAAAAGAATTTCTATCTGTAAGGTTCTTTCAAACTTCCTAAAATTATCAGATATTTTTTAGAAATGTTAGGTAATTCCAGAAATTTATTTGTTATTTCCGTGGAAAAATTCTGCGAGCTTGAACACCCTATAATATCGCTTGGTTGTCTCACCTCAAGCCGCTTTGGGCTTGCTTTGCCATCACCGTTTTCCTATTATAAGACGAACAGCTTTTCAACGGTCGGTGCTCGAAGTGCAGTGTTGCGCGAATTATAACGGTCTGTCGGTGATATATCTTGCAAGCTAACACCAACGGCAACTTCGACACATTTAGACTCTGGCTACTGAATTTCTTAAGTCTAGTAGGAATCACTATCAGTGAACAATATTTCCGCTCCGACGCAAACTGAGAAGAAATCAGTTTCCCTTTTTCCGTAGCGGCAAAAGAGACGTGTCGCTTTTGAACATGATAATAGCATGAGAGCAACACCTGAATTTCAAGAACAACTTCTAGCTTCGCAAAGAACAAATGTAAGTAGAATTGATTAAGAAAGAGCGATTTTAGAACTGTACAAAACTAAACAGTGTGCCTTGAAAATCAATAGTGGTTTTGAAATCACGCGCCATCCGTCCTACTCTCAAATCATTTAGTAAAAAAGATAGCAAAACAAGATTGTTACAGGTTGATAGATCGTCATTTTTATCAGATATTAAATTTTCAGGAAATTGAAAAAAGAAAAATTTTTTCCAGCAGTGATACCTTGAGAACAGTTGTGAACACTTGTATCACTCGTGCGTGTCCAAGCAGGTCACGGCTCACGAAATTATGGGACGCAGGTTGGAATGTATTGGACTGTTCAAATCCAAAAATGAGCTAAGAACATTCTGTGCAGCCTAAAGGTCATTGATGCGCATGTATCAACTTTTTGCACACAGCTTTCTCCGCTGTTTGAGATTAATTGTTCTCGGCCAGTGAGCATGCTAAAATTTTTGCCTGCATATCATTAGATGGAAAATTTATGTCAGCTGACTGCAAGACATGTCATCACCAACGTGCTCATTTAGAAATATCAGCTAAACGAAGTAAGTGACTAACTTACACAAAATAGAAATAAAAAGTGGACTAAACCTCGAAAGGTTCTACAGAGGGGTATTTCGGAGCTGTATATGTAGCAAAAACGATTAAGTAATAATAATGATAACAATAGTAATCATTACATCTTTAGCCGGGGTTAACCCGTCAGCAATGGCTGATATCAATGGGTGCCCTGGTAAATTATACAAAACAATACTGAAATGAATAAAATATAAATAAAACTAAAATATTGATCGTAATTAAAGATAATTATAAAAAATCTAAACATGTCCATACGATGACTAAAACTCATTTATTTTGATCTATAATGATAATTGAACTGAGTGGAGTGCAATCTGAGCTGAAATCATACGCGTGATTTGAAATCACAAGTATGATTTCAGACCAAAATTGCACGACACTCCCAAATACAGGACTTGGTCAATTCAAACATTTTACTGATGCAGTACTGAGCCGGTTTTTAAATAAAAAGCGGAACCGGAAACGCTTTTACACCTTTTTTTGTATGCAAAACAGAAAGACTTAGACGACATGTGTCAAAAACTCAGACAATGACTTAATTGATTTTAATTCAAGCGACAAATCATTGAATGCTTAGGCCCCAGCATAAAAACAACCCTTTTTTGCCACTTCTGTTCTAACCTTAGGAATTATAATATCTATGCCATTTCTACGGGTAACCTGAGAATGATTAGACATACTATAATAGTTCATGAAAATTTCTGGTCCGTATGACTGAAGACACTTGAAAACGAACGTCAATCTATATACGTATCATACATCGAGAACAGTTCTCGATGACGTCAATTGACGAGACGATGACGTATGTTCAATGACGTCAATTGAAAACAAACGTCAATCTACGTATCATACATCGTGAATGGAGGGTTTTTTAACCCAACTGTTGAAGTAACTACTCATCTGACAGTGATTGTTCTTTTAAGACTATTTTCGCCGCTCTGGTCTGAAGGCTTTCTAATTTTCCGAGAATACTTGGTGCTAAATTATTCCATATAAAATCACAATAATCTAATTCAGCCTGAAAAGTAAGGCCATCTCTAATCCTGATAAGAAGCTTAATTGGCTGGCTACTTTGTTAATAGCTTAGAAAAAAGTCAAATGTTAGTCTAAGTACACTCTAAGATATTTGTATGAGGATTTCTGCTCCCCCACTTTTTCACCAACAAGAACAGCGTTCTTGCTGGTGTCAGAATCACTTCGACTGAGTTTCTGTGTAGTTCCAAACATTATTGTTTTCTTTGGATGAATATAATTATAGAAATATATTAGATTTACCTGATACAATACTCGCGAATTCGGAAAGTAGATTTACAACACAACTGAGTACATATACGAAATACAGATGACAGTTTTTGCATGCGAGAGCTAACGCTAATATAGGTCTCAAAATGATGCCTGGACTAAAAACTTTAACCGCTTTATTTTCCACTGTCTTCCAGTCGTTTGACAGTGTAGGTGCATTTATAAGCGTAAGCAGGCCGGAAAAGAAGCACATTGGCGCATGCCATGCAAAGTTATAATATAAGTTGGATATCATGTACTTATTGACTGAGTGGGAGGGCCGGACAGAAAGATCATATTTGGCTAGAAGTTATGCGCCCGATCTGTACGTTATGAACGGGTGCCAAATATGTTCCCGTCCGGCCCTCTCACCTAGTCACTCAAGAAGCATTTTGTCATATGACCACTGATTAAAATGGTAAAAAATTCTAAAAGTTTGTTTTAACTTGAATAGGACGCGATAGACTGGTGCACGCCGGAAAACCACAATAAAAAAAAAGTTCCACAAAAAAAACTTTTCCTTTCTCTTTTTGAGTCAGAACAAGAAATTCACAATTTACAGAAGAACGTGACTTATTTTCGGATTTTTTTTTTTCACTGCTTTTACTCATTTTGTGAAACAACAGTGAACAATATTTCTTTTTCTTTCTTTTTTTCTTTTGGAAAAAGCCGTACAAGTGCTTCGGACCGGCTCACGTCAACCCGTCCAGCTCTACCGGCACACGTCAGCTTTTATTATGTCTTTCATGGTATTGCGCGAGCGGGGCCGGACAGGTCATATGACAAGTTCATGTACGTCTAAGTAAATGTACGAATATGATATAGGAAGTGATCATGACCAAAGATATAACTTCAACAAAGACTACTGCTAGATAAACGCACGTACAGGTCGATCGTTAAAGCACTGTTGGTTTAGGAATAGTATACTATATATACCTTTCAATTTTGTTGTGGCAGTCCCCTTTGAGTCTGGGCTTTGGCAAGCTGAAGAGGGGGACGCGTAAAAATGTCTCAAATGGCGTGTGTCGTCAGCATTCTCAATAGTCAGAGCGCGTTCTAACTCGTTGGCAAGATCTGGGATATTGAAACACAAATGGACAATAAATCAATCAGCGGTGAGTTTCAGTTTAGGTTGGGAACATTGCTCTGTTCTCTTCTGCAATGTATTGCTACCCAAAGCAAAAAGGAATAGCAATGAAGAGAACACAGATGTCAACTGGGTAAATGAGAAATATAAATACAAATGTCTAGGACTAAAAGGCATAGTGAAACTCATTTAGTTACCAGACTCCTGTTGAGCCCTCATAGCAGCTTTTGCAAGTTCTGACCAATCGATCACATTCGAGCATTCTTTACCATTGCTTATCTCGGTCGAGAGTCTGCGCAATTGAATGATTGAGAAAAAGATTAGAATAAGACTAATGATATTTTGATACATAAATAAGAGCCTCCATCTGTCGTGAAAATATGATAAGGATTTGTCCAAGGACATAATGTATACCGAAATGCAAACAGTTTTCCGATAGCGAAGCTCGAGGATAACTGTGAGCTAGCTTCTTTAACTCGTACATGAAATGCATGTACACCCTACACTTCGGCCAGTCTTCCTGAACGTGTACCTTTTGGTTGTTTTTTCAAAATAACGAGCTGTCTCTTTGTTCCCATGTTCCAAAGCAACCTCTTCTGGCAGAGGTGAACTTCCATTATATGCATCAAACACAATTCTTCCAGCCGAAGAAGAGAAGATCATCTCAACAAACTGCTGTGCTCCCTCTTTTGCCGCCGTGAAAACCAGGAGGCATAGTAACTGAACTTGGTGGGCGTGTCCTGTATAAATAAGAGAAGAATTAACATTGCAAGACCTTCGTAGCCGCAAGTTGAGAACGAAATTCTTTTTACGAATATAACTGTAGCACCTCCTGCGAATTTAGATGCATATTTGCTTGGTCTCGAGCGCAAGTCATGACAGAATTTTGGCATCGTTTCTATATTATTTTTACAATTATTTCACATGTAAATTTTATATTCAGATTTAAAAGCTTGCGAGAATGTTAGCCCTTTCTGCTTTTCAATTAGTTCTTAAACCCAACACTCGAAGATATTGGATACACGGATGTTTTTCAGAGGCTTAACGTAGAATTGTAACGAAACGGACCCCGAATTTTCAACTCAGGCCTCTCACGAAAGTTACCACTGCAACCCTATCCTCGAAAAAGTGTAAAGAGAGGGAGCTCTGCGAGACGTCTGCAAGGGGTCTGGCACTCGACAGAAGGCTGATAACAAGGGCCTAGGCGCAAGATGTCATATCAAATCAAATAAGTCGCTTAGATTTTGAAGCCTCTTTTAAGCATGTTCATACAGGCGAACGCGAACAGGAAGCGGCATTCGCAAGAGACTGTGTGAGCATGAAGGCGAAGGCGGCTTGAAGAAGCTTCGCGAGGGAATTCGCAGAGATGGCCTTAGAGCAAACTCTTCACCTTGTAAACCAATTAGTTATTTTCTTTTAGTGTAAGACAGGTACAGCCTAAACCTGTTGACAGGTAGTAGCACACCATTTGAGAAGACATGTCACATAAACCTGAACTCTGTTGGTTGTAGTTGGCGTACTTCACTGTAATTTGTGATTTGTTTGGTGTTCCTCGGTGTGGTTTGATGAAGTTTGTTGGAGTTGGGGATTTTGGGCGTGGTTTTGTGTACTTTGGTGTAGTTTTTGTTCTAGCTTAGTGTGGCGTGGTTTAGTGTAGTCAGGATGCACCATTCTGAAGAAAAAAGGTTTTAAGGGAAGGGACCGAGGGTAGTTTTTTACAGCTTCCATAACAGTTGTATCAGCGTTTTCTTGATATACAACTCCTCTTGTTATCCTCTTTTTTGCCCGATTTTTGATGAAAAACTGATAGTTTTACTCCGAGGGTTTTCCTCAAAAACAGATATTTCAGGTAAATATCAAAGAACATACCCAAAGTCATTAGGCAACTACCAGACATTATAGTACACCTCTAAATTTTCTCCGATTCGTATTGGCTTAAATTGATCACGTGACGCTATAGTGTTCATCCGTAGAGAGACAATATCAGCCCATAATGTGAAGGTGTAGTCTGATCGTCCGGGCGAGTGTAGTCCTGAGAAGGACTGTTGTCGGTGGTAGTGACTGACGTTTCGACAACCTGTGCGGAAGTCATCATCAGAGTCAAGTGAATGATTGTTGTCAGTAGAATGTTCTTATTCCAGTTCGTGTGAAATGATCGGTTGGTTTTGCCGTGATGTTATTGGCTGTAAGACTCAAGTGACGTAAGTCGGTCGTGATTGGTCTGTTTCGATCTGTCGGTAAAGTTAGGTCGTTCTTTTTCGGTCGTTTGTGATGTTTATGTCGTGAATGAGTCGTTTGTATGGAGCGGGTAGTTGTTGACATCTGTTTAGGGGAGTCTGTTCTAAGTTAGTAAACCAGCTTTCCAGAGTCAGTCGTTGAAAATAGTCAGTGCTGTAGGTTAGGCATTGCGCAGAGTCCCAGTCAATGTTGTGGTTGGTAAGTCGATGGTGTTCAGCAATGTGATTGCTGACATCACCTTTCCTCGTCGCCCGTCTGTGTTCAGTCAGTCTTGTTGTGAGGTTTCTGCCAGTCTCACCGATGTAGGAGGCTTGGCAGTCGGAACAATTGATCTTATAAATCGTTCCCTGTCTGTTCCTCGGTTCGTCTTTGTCTTTAACGTTGGTTAGTAACTGACGTAGTGTGGTGATGGGTTTGTGGGCGACGCGGATATTGAAGGGTAGTAAGATGCGCGAGATGTTTTCAGACATGCCTTTTATGTACGGTATGGTTGCTGTAGTCGTAGGGGTTGCGGTGTCGTTTGTTTCGGTAGTGGTAGTGGGTCGGTGAGTGTTTCGTCGGATGAAGTCGTTGTTGTAGTTGTTCTTCGTAAAAACACGGTGAAGGTATTTGTTCTCGTCGGATAAGCTGTCTGTCGAGTCACA